CGCGGACCTGCGTTATCTTTATCCACAATACATGAGCAAAAACATGTCTATACAAAATTCTTTGTAACTCTTCAGAATAGATAGAAACTCCCAATATTTTTTCATATTTAGATTATATATATTATTTAGGTTATAAGTTGGAGATATGATTTCATGTCTCATTTGACCCTCAATTAACTCATAACGTCATCATAATGGCCTCCAAACTCAAAATTTCAATTTGCATATTATGACGTCAGCATAATTTTGGAAAATTGATTGTATCTCTGTAAATATTGATTGATTTTCTTTTAAATTTTGATATGTTCTACCTGAAACAATTTTCTACAAATAAATAATCCACAATTTTCCATTTTGACAAAGGCATCATGGCGTATTTTTGCAATTAAAGAAGGCATGTCAATTTTTCACATTTTACGTGTATTCTCTACGGGACATGACTTTTTCTCAAAACTGGATTCTACACTCCTGTCTTTCGCGAGCAAAATCTCTGTTGTTTTAGCTTCGTTTTCGCTGAACTTCGGATATGTTGTAGCTGAGACAATGAGCTATCACAAGTGCGCCCTTTATTTTTCGATTAGATGCCGGGATCATGCTCATATTTCACTTGCAAAGTAGGATTTCAGAATTCCATTTCCCGTTTACGTGTAATCGCTATGGGAAATGTTTTGGTATATCGGTAACGCACTTGACTTCCAATCTCGAGATCCCTGGTTCGAGTCCGGGTGTCTCCAACAATTTTTTTCTTCACTTTTTTTTCCTTTTGACCTTCACTGTACCATCTCCTTTGATTATTAAAACACGTAGAATCGCAAATAATGTCACAAACAACCCTTTTTACTTTATTATTACCCTATTTTCACTTAATCCATTACTTTTTGCGTGTAATCTCTATGGGAGATGACTTTTTCTCAAATCTGGAGTCTACATTCCTGTCTTTTGCGAGCAATATCGCCGTTATTTCTGCTTGGATTTTGTTGACTTTTGAGTAAGTTGTAGCTGAGACTATATGCTATCTAAATCAACCCTCATTTTTTCAATAAGATGTCATGATCGCGCTCATGATCATGATCATTATCATCATGATCATCATTATCATAATGATGATAATCATTTATCAATTACATTTTCATTTCTTTGAATAAGATAAAATCGTCAAAAGGTGTTCTTCATGATGTAAATTAGAGTCAAATGTGTAACTGGTTACTGCACAGGGTCAAAGGTCATATATTGTTTCAATCTATCTTCCCTAGATCCATGATGATCAAGGAGACACAATTTAATCTTGACATATGAATAGATCATAATGGGAGAAGCATATAAATGGGAGAAGCATTTTACAAAATAATATATCGTGTAATGCATTATTCGTTATGTAAACCATTATCATACGTATCACCTAATTCGTCTAAGTGACGAATTAAAGTCTAGTTAATATTATTATTATTGTTACTATTATTATCATTATTATCATTATTATTATAATTATTTTTATGATTTATTATTATTATTATTTACATATTTAAAGGCGCTTTATTAGCACCGTTTTATTATTATTATTATTATTAATATTATTATTATTGTTATTATTATTATCATTATTATCATTATTATTATTATTATTTGTATTATTTATTATTATTATTATTTACATATTTAAAGGCGCTTTATTAGCACTATTTTATTATAATTATTATTGTTATTATTATTATCATTATTATTATCATTATTATTATTATTATTTACATATTTAAAGGGGCTTTATAAGCACCGTTTTATTTTATTTTAATTTTTTTTAATTTTTATTATATCATTATTATTATTATTATTATTATTATTATTATTTACAAAGGCCTAGGCCTATTTAAAAAATATAAATAATGCAAACAGAATCTTGATACTCTGTTTCTCATTATTTACTGTCATCCTTTGAGCGAAATTTATAATTTGAGGCAGGGATGGAATGTTTGTGATTCAGGTTAGTTGAAACTATGAAAACATGGTGGCGTTGTCAGTTCCAAAATTGCTTTTCGCAAGGCCCCTGGCCTACATCAACTACATATCCATTCTGTTTTAAGATCGAAATTACAGATAAAATTGATTACTCAAAGATTATAATTAATCATGATTTTAAGACCAACAATTATGAATCATTCATTATCTTTTCCGTCTACAGCTTTTCACTCTCAAGACTCAGTTAAGACCAAAAACAAACAAAAAACCTAACCCTAACTATTCCGTTCAGATCTTAACGCTCTCAAAACGCCGGATTTCTCCATTTTTCTAAGCTTTATATTACAGATCCTAGCTTACACCAAATAAACATTAGCAACTGTACTACCCAACATGTGAGCATTTTTATTAAGATTTGTACAGCATATTAACTTTTTGGTTGCAATTAGTGTATTACAGTAAGTAATCTTGCCTCTATTTATAGGGCATGATAATGGTTTCAATATAGCTAGCTTCGTGAATTTTGAAAGAAGATTCAGAACATTTCGAATGATTTATTTTGCCTCCCCAAACCCTCAACCACTAATAAGCAAAACAAAGATTTGGGTGGCTTGCTGAACATCACATTTACGTATTCCAGTATGGATCTCATTTTATTTTCTCTCTCTCATGTGTTTGATACATGTATAAAGAGAGGTAACTTCTTCTACAGAAAAATAAATTATGGTCATAACGCTTTCAACTCGCGATGTACTGAATTTCCTTACTTATCTTACGCAAACTACAAAGGTCACTCAGAAACGACGCGGGATTGCACGACATAATATTTACATTTATTTTGATATTCTTTATCAGGCATAACGCAAATATAATCTCTATATATTGTTGATAATTATGTTTTTCATCAACTACTAGCAGCCAATGAACCACAGACCTCTCAGTTGAGGCGGGATGGAAATATGGAAATAAGGCGGCAATCAAGAGAAGCCTTATGAGGGGCTAATGAGGAGCAAATAGACTCTTGATGTTGGATTTTATTCAGCACTGTTAAAGCTAGACCTACAGCTATACCTATTCATGAATCAATGAAAAGGATGAGGTATATAAAACAATATGGACTGCTCTGTAATCGGATGGTGTGGAAATTATCACTCCCTCGGTGGTTTTCATACCGACCCTTCTATCATCATCCTCATGAGCAGTCAATATTTGTATACTATCAATCTTTGAACAAACGTTTGGCAGCAAAGGTGGAACTGTGTAAATGAGGCCGCATGCAAGTCGATCGACTTCGAATCCCAATATACTACCGTCAAGATGAATTTGAGTTCTGGTTTTGCATTTAAATTGTCATGATATATTCGTAGTATTATTGTGACATGCAAAAATCAAATGATAAGAAATCTCTAGCTTTTTCAGAACAATCTAATACAAATTATTGTTTATCTTTATGAGAATCATGCGAACCCTTTTTTAAATGATCGGGAATCCTATCTCACTTATGGTTATAGTAACACATATTCAACACGAAATAGCAAATAATTGACTGTGGCTTGGAAGATTGAATCGTTATAACGTGTTTGATTTCCCCCTCATCAAAACATGTTTTATACGATTATTTGAAGACTATAAGTTACGTTTTAAGGAGATTGTGAGGTGTCAGGTGTCAGGGGAGGGGTGGGGGGCTGCCGCTCCAGTAACCAACTCAATTTAATTAAAGAATATGAAGGGTTGTACACTATTATAAACATTTCTTTTTTTTAATTGGTTGAATTCGTCCTTGTTTTCACGAAGTGACGGTAGTGAGGAAAATCGTAACGCAAAGTGAATGCAATTTTTTTTCACTACCGTCACTTCGTGAAAACAGCGACGAATTGTCCCACCTCCATTCCAACACGCACATCATGATCAACTGTGAACCTTTTTTTTACGCCAACCCCAATTAACCGCCCTTTCCCCCTGGTCTATTCACAGCAGATTTATGCAATAATTGCATACTAAATCTCAATCCCTACTTCATATCCTGGTGCCGTCACTGAACATAGATAAATCAGGAATTGGAAGATCTAAATCATTTAATGTAAATATGCTTTTACTGAACTTTGAATTGATCGGCTACGTCAAGCTTTGAACTACCAAATTATGATAAAATTAGATAACCCCATATAAAATTCAAACATGACCCTTGTACATAGCTCGTGCCTGCTTTTCAGGTCGATACATGTAAATCATTAACTTAACATAAATAAAAGGAAATGGTTCGCATTATACACACTATATACGCAAACAAAATGTCAGTTTACATATACATGTATAAATGCTAGGATATATAGCCTAAACAACAGCTTTGGCAACTCTCGTGGAAATAAATTCAATGCAACATGAGAAGAGGTCTGGGTTAATAGTTACGTAGCTAAATTCAAAGTTTCAAATTACAGTTTTCCCTTTTGAAAATTTGTGTAAATGTAAAATCAAATGTCTCCAAAAAAATGTTTTAGGAAATGTCTACGCAGCCATTATTCTCAAATTCCCTTTCGCATTATGTATATTGAATAAGGCAGACTAATGGAACATGGTTCCAACTCCGAGTTTCACGCCTTGCAAACGATCATCTGCCTTTAAGTTATTCAATATATATTTTGCTCTGCCTATAGGCATTGAGGACTATACGGAGGAATAGACCAAATCTAAGTATATATATATGTATATATTACCTGAAGAAATAAAACCGAAACCCTTCATAAAGAAGAAGAGAACTCCCTCAAGGATTTTTATTTCAATTGTTTTAATTATTATTTATGTATATATCTATATAGTATATACAATATCATAACTGGAAGCTGAATTATATGTGCATATATAATTTTAATTGCAATTTCATCTTATTCAAGATCTAGTAGGGCTATCATCTTGATACATTCATCAGATATACTCAACTGATATGGTTGGTAATGTACGGGAGAAAAGGGACATGCACTGTTCTTTCGTTCATTAAAAACAATTTGATAAGTTCAACTCGTATTTTATATCTCTGTTATTGTCTTTAGGTGACGAAATACCACTTCAGCAGAAGCTTGAAATCCAGACGAATCCATCATGCCCGTTTCACTTGGTGAATGGCGAGTGAGGATAGGAAGATTCGTACATTCGGTCAGGGAGTATGTCATAAGAGAGCGAAAAGTAAAGTTATTGACAGAGAGAATACGGCGACTCAAGTTATTGCAAAAGAGGCTCCTTGAAAAGAAGGAAAAATCAGAAGATGAATGCGAGTCCAAGCCGAACGACTTGAGTGTGAAAGTGGACGATGCCCTAAATGAATCTAATAGCATTAATAGCGACACCACACATGATACTCACAAAGAGGAGAGAAGTAGAAGTGAATTTACAATTGGAGATGAATATACATTCCCTTTCTTCTTCACCCTGTTGCTGTCGTTGTTCTCTTTGTTGTTATCATTGATCTTCTTTTTCTTGTTTGATTTTTCAAATTTGCTAACGAGTTACAAGTCCTTTCTGAAGTGGAGTTACTGTAGTGAATCTTCCTGGAGGAGTATATGTCTCATACTAATAGTCGTGTCCAGCAGTTTGGCCTACTTTGTTTTGTCATACGTAATAAAGACCAATGCGAACTTGCAAGATAATCTGGTGCTAATTAGGGATGAGAACGCAAAAGCTGAATCTACCACTAAATTGAACAACACTCCAACTGAATCTACCATCAAAGAGAACAACACTCAAACTGAATCTGCCATTGAAAAGAACTACAGTCTAACTGATTCCAGAATCAAAGAGAAGAACGCTACTGAATCTGCCAAAGAATGCAACAACATTCCATCGAATGCTACCATCAAAGAGATCAACACTCCCTCCATTACCAGAGATGGACCTAAAGAAATTAAACAATCAAAGACAAAAATATCAAAGAGAAAAACCATCAAAGAAAAAAATACTGCAACTGAATTTAACATAAGAGAGATCAGCACTCTACCTGAATCTACAATCAAAGAAAACATCGCTCCCAAAGAATGTCATATCGACACTTCCTCTACCATGACAGACAAACCGTCAAAGAGAAAAACATTAAAGAGAAAAACCACCAAAGAAAAAAAGACTGCAACTGAATCTACCCACAAATCGAACAACATCATAACTGAAACTACCATCATAGCGAACAACTCTCCAACTGAATCGAACATCAATAAAGATAACAACGCCCAGACTAGATCTACCATCAAAGAAAACAACTCTCCAAATGGATCTGCCATCAAAGACAACAACGCTAAAACTGAATCTACCATCAAAGAAAGCAGCACTCCCTCTACAATAAAAGACAAATCATCAAAGAGAAAGATGTCAAGGATAAAAACCGTCAAAGAAAAAATTATCGCAACCGAATCTCACATCAAAGAGGACAACACACCAATTGGATCTACCATCAACAACAAAAGCGCTTCAACTGAGTCTGCGATCGAATACAGCATCACATCAATTGAATCTACCATCAAAAACATGAACACTACAACTAAATCTACCATCAAGTACAACAACTCTGTAACTGAATCAACCAAAACAGAGAGCAGCACCTACTCTACCATCAAAGATAAATTACCAAAGAGAAAAATATCAAAGAGAAAGATCACTAAATACAAAAACACTGCAACTAAATCTAAAATCAAAGGGAACGCCACTACAACTGAGTCTACCATAAAAGAATACAACTCTTCAACTGAATCTACCATCAAAGGCAGCAACATCCCAGTCAAATCTGCTATCAAAGACAACAACTGTCCAACTGAATCTACCATCAAAAAGAACAACTCTACAGCTAAATCTGTCAATAAAGGCAGCAACTCTACAACTGAATGTACCATAAAAAACAGCAACACTCCAACTAAATCTACCATTAAAGGAAACAACACTCCAACTAAATCTACCATCAAAGAAACCAACACTCCAACTGAATCTCCAATCAGAGGCAACAACTCAACAAGTGAATCTACTACCATAGACAGCAACACTACAACTATATCTGCTATTAAAGAGGATAACACTCCATCTAGAACCCCTACTGAAGAGAAAAACAATCAAACCATGAAAGTGAACATTGCGAAGGCAGAATATAGCATACGATCCGGAACCCAAAAGGTACGTATCTATTTTCACGCGGTAATATTTTTCAACTCGGATTTCATTCAACAGTCTTGAGATAGGTGTACAAATAATTTTTAAATAACAAAAGCACATGTATCACTCAAAGCCGCACCATATACATGTACATGTATGCAGGCAAATAAATGATATGTAGAAACGCATGTATACAATTCTCAACCTATACACCTTATATTCTAGTACTGAGAAATGGTATCAGATCAGACAAAATGTCGTTTTCTACTTCAAAATATCAATGATATTTCGTTGTCTTTATCATATTAAGTTCCTTTAGTTATGATTGAAGTATGCAGGCGCGGATCCAGGGGGGGGGGTCCGAGCGGGCCTTGGCCCCCCCCCCGCAAAAAAAAAAAAAAAAAAAAAAAAAGAGAGAGAAGAAAGGAAAAGAAGGGAAAGGGAAAGAGGAGAGAAAGGGAAAGAAAAAAGAGGAAGAAAAAAGAAAAGGGGAAAGAAGGAGATCGGGGGGTGGGCCGAAAGAGCCTTGCCTCCCAGGCTGTTGACCCCCCCCCCCCCCCTAATCAAAAAAATAAGAGAGAAGGAAGGAAAGAATAGGGGGGAGCTTGGGGGAAATCAAATTCAAACGTGGTTAATTTCTAATTCCACAACGGTGGATTACAAATAATTATGAAATTACTTAATTTCCGAGACTTTTCCACTTTTTAGTAAATTATACGTTTGTATGTGTTTGTTGGAAAATGACAAATTCCTAAATTTACAGCCAGGCAAGAAATATGATTCTTGAGATTCCTACATGTCAGGGCCCGAGGTACGGCAGGGATCGGGAGCCTCGAGCTCCCTCCCCCCCCCCTACACTTTTTTTGAAAAAGTACATTAAAGAGAAATAAAATAGAATGAGAGCAAGAAAGAGAGAATAGTTAACTGCCCGTGTTAAAAAAAAATGAGGCATCAAAATATGCTCATCTGAACTGGATTAAATGCCTAAAACCCCTAAGCTTCCGGGGGCTCTGCCCCCATGGACTCCACCTATAGGGCCCTACGGGAGCCCATAGATGCTTATCTGAAGGTAATTTAATGCCTAAAACCCCTGATTTTGGGGGGCTCTGCCCCCTGTACCCCACGCCAATAGTGTCCTGCCAGTGTCACAAAATAATAAGGTATACAAAAAAAAATGCTCATCGGACCTTAGTTAAACGCCTAAAACCCCTGAGCTTCCGGAGCCGGCTCCGCCGTCTCGACCCCACCAGGGGCCCTAAGGCGGGCCCCTGAATGCTTATCTGACCGTAAGTTATTGCCTTAAACCCCTGAGCTTGCGGGGTCGGACAAGGTATCAAAATGTGTTTATCGGACCGCAGGCACGTAGCCAGGGGGGGGGGGGGGCGTAGGAAGAAAAAGGAGCAGACAAAGGATATCTTTGAAATTCAGAATCAAGAACGGTACAGCAAATCGTCTTCTTTCTCTCTTAATCTTATGAAACGTCAAAGCTTCCGCGCTTTACGCGCGGGAGGGGGGGGGAACCTGAATTCAAACGAAGATTCAGAGGCGAGAACTATAATACGAATCTTTAATGATTTAATGAAACATAAAAGCTTCCGCGCTTCGCGCGGGATAGAGGGGGAACTAAATTCCGACGTGGATTATTTTCGAGAACGGTACAACGAATCGTCTTCTTTCTCTAATGATTTAATGAAAATTAAAAGCTTCCGCGGGAGGGGGACCTGAATTCAGACAAGGATTAAGAGTCGAGAACGGTACAACGAATCGTCTTCTTTCTTTAATATTTTGATGAAACGTCAAAGCTTCCGCGCTTCGCGGAGGAGGGAGGGGGAAACTCGACCCTCCCTGCCCCGACCCCCCCCCGCATTACGTCACTGTTGGTCACCATTACGTACCAATATTTGGCTCGCAAAATTTCAAATTTGGCCCCCCCCCCCCTAAGAAATCCTGGATCTGCGCCTGGAAGTATGTGCACATATTCATTGTAGATTCATTCAGCCTTTCCACGAATTTGTATAGGTATTATCAGAGGGAAAACACAGTGTTTCGAGTCAGATTCCAAGCAGCCTGAAAGGAACCACTGACGATCCTGTCGTGCAAGAGAGCACCTGCCTCCCTGAGATGATCCTGGTAAAGGCTGGAGATGTAGAGAAAAATCCAGGTCCATTCGATAGGTAGACATCTATATATATATTTGTTGTTTTTTTTTTGGAGGGGGGGGGGTTGGGGTGGGGGGAAGCGCAGTACTTCAGTCGTCATATGATTTTGTATGTTGCCTTTTCTCTGGTGCGTATCAGGACAATTACCCCCTGGACAAGGGCAATCCCCCCTAGAAAATTACACCGCCTGAAAAAATACCCCTCACGGACAATAACCCCCCCCCCCCGAAAAAATTACCCCCGAGGACAAATACCCCCGGAAAATTTTCCCCTCGGACATTTACTCCCCATGGACGATTTCCCCCATTGACAATTACCCCACACCCGAAAATTACCCCCCCCCCCTGTTCATTAAAGTGGAAGTCTACCCTGATAATAAGTTGGTTTTAATCAAAGTATAATTGTCTTCGGGGTGGGGGTGGAATTGTCTTGGGGGGGGGATTGTCCAAGGGGGTAATTTTCCCGTGGGTAATTGTCCTCGGGGGTGGTTTTCATCGGAGGGGGGTCATTTTTCGGGGGGGGGGGGTAATTGTCCCTCTGGCAATTGGCCGGGGGGGGGGGTGATTGTCCAAGGGGTAATTGTCCTAGAATCCTCTTGGTAATTTACCACAATCCAAAGAAGGTTTATGTTAACAACAAACGTCCATCCACTACGGAATATCATATTTTTTTTTTAATCTCATCGAATGAAAATGTATTCTTTATATTCTACTAGATCCAATCAAAACATAACGTCAAACATATGACCATCGATGAAAAAGGAAAGGGAAAAGAGGTATCTTTCAATGCCTTCAGAAAATGTGTCAAAGCTCATCTCTTCTGTTAATAACATAATTGTAAGCGCAAATAAACATGTAGATGGAAACTGCTCTATATAACTACATCATTATCATTATTATTATTGTCCTTAGAATACAACCGACAGAACCTTTATTTTGTCTTTCAACCATGCCAAGTTGTCGTATAAATTCGAAAATACGTTAAGAATGGAATACTCAAAGGTAGACAATATCGGCACTAAAAGACCCAAATGGATCCTATCTGGACTGGTGGAAAAGATCGTTCTAGGTTCCAGAAATCTTTCCCACTTCTATATCAAAGTAACTGATTGATATCAGAGTGAAACCATTCGCTAACACTAGTTAGGCCTCTTACTACTCGAAGGTGAATTTAACGCTTAGATATACTGCTTCATACTTATGTTCATTCTTCCATACATGTATGTTTATTTTTCAAGAGTACTTAACGTTTCCAGGTTCTTGTTTAAACAGATCAGTAGACACACAAGAACAAATGTAGGTTATCTTCCCAATTTCTTATTTACACAGAGCAGCGAATATTCAAGAACAAGAACTGATAGACCTGGCGTACGATGTACCTTCATCAAAATACACAAATTTGTGCAATACACTTGGTGTATCGTACAATCGGAGCCAAACCATTCTTGACAGACATCTCTTAGATTTCACAAGATCACTGAATGCGGTATTCTTTGAGTGGAAGGACAGACAGAGGGATGGCACAGATTGTCGTCAAGTTATAGCTACGGCGCTACGTAGTGTTAACCTGGACGCACTCGGTGACAAAATGTCCAAAGGTACACCAATTTATTTTGAAATGCACTTTAAAGACCTTTTCTTGGCATTTAATATTATTCTATGTCATAACATTATTTTGTGTTCATTATTCATGCATTATTGTCATTTCCTTGGGGGCTGGCCGCCTATAGTAACTGACAATTTTGAAAATAACTGTTATAAGACAAAATGCAAGAATTAGACACAGCACGTGTCTTCTTCCACCAATCCTAAAGAAAAGTGAAAAATTCAAAAACCTAATAAAGGCACAACTACCCATCATGATGAATTTCACTTCATTCTTTAAATTCCTATTAATCGTAATTTATCGCATTTAACCGTGAATCATACGATTAACCAATTGGTGCTTTATAGAAAGGTCAAGGAAAAGTTTTTTCACTATGTTGTTCGAAACTTGGTATAGATTATGTGGCTTCATAATCGAGCTTTTGGTATGTAGGCCGAAACAAAATGATATATGATTAATGTTCATTGAATCTATGTTAACAAATTCTAAATAATTTCCCAGAAACAACAAGATTTAATATCTTACTTTGTATGCATTCTTAAAATTCCAAAAATCTTTTTAATACTGATTCGAAAAATAAAGAATATTTAAAATCTTGGTAAAAAAAGAAAGAACCAATATCATGTTTAAGGTAAAAAGGAAAGTGGGATAACATTATATATAACAGTAATATTTACGCTCGAAAATACCCAAAGTGTATGGCTTCCTGTTAATAGTGGTATATAGAAGCATTGCTGTATGTATTATGTTTACGGAACAATTCTGTATACCATTAGCCAAAATGATTTAGAATGAAATGTTGTTCCCATTAAATATATTTTCCTAAAATATATGGGGAGAAAAGTATTCACTAAATTATTATGAAGATTGTTCATGGACGTCATATAACAAATAGTTCATTTGAGAAGAAAAAAAATCACACGACTGTACTAATTTTTCCAACAGGTGGCTATCTCCCGCAAGAAGCAGCTCCAACTGGTAAGCAAGCATTGTTTTGTTAAGGTAGTGAACATGTCAGTTTCAATATCTAATAACTCAAACGTGTTGGGTAACATTAATTTAATATGTTGACAGTGTCTTGGTAATTATAGTTTTCTCCACTATAATTCGTCTCAGATCGGTGATAATTAAATTCATGGTGAAACTATTTCGGTTTGTCAAAAAAGACAGAGAACTCGACCGGTGTTTCATTTGTATTTAATAGCTGAATATACAGGTGTCTATTTATGTAATTGGGTATCACGTGAAATAGCGAAAATGAGAGTTCACTCAGAAAGTTGGCATTTCGAATTTTCCTTTTTTGTCCTACCACTAGAACACTAGATACTAAAACCATCATAAAATAGGATAAGTTTGCTAGAAATTTTTCAATAAAATTTTGTTTTTATCTGTGTAAATTATTTACTCAGAATCAACAGTAGAAGACGAAACACAACCACTTACAAAAGAACAGGTAGATCAATGTGCTCAGGATTTCAAAACTTTCTACCGAACACGGTTATGCAAGATCAGGACGGATCCACTTGACTTCAATTCCATTTTAGAGTTCGAAAGGATTTACACGAATTTAGTTCTGCTAAGAAACGAAATGGGAACCACTAGGCAGATGCCCTTAGACTACGCCGAACTACTTACAACAAAAGTCAATGGAGTATTTCCAAAACGTCTCATGGTGGAAGGCGAAGGAGGAGCAGGTAAAACAACATTCTGTTCCAAGATGGCATGGGACTGGGCGGAAAGAACTAAGGAGTTTGAAGAGTTCGACTGGGTTTTGGTTATTCCTTTTCGAAACACCAAGGAAGGTCAGACTGTAGGAGATATAGCAAAAACATATCTGCCAGATAGCAACACGGTTCAACCGCGCCAAATCGATAAATACATATTGTCTGCCCCTACAAAAGTGTTTATCATATTTGACGGACTAGACGAGTATGAAGGGGATATCCTCAAAGAGAGTTCAGATATCGCTAAGATTCTTCGGTCAGAGAAGTTTGTGGAATGTAGAGTTGTGGTGACAACACGCCCGTGGAGAGCAGTTCCATTCAAATCGCATGAAATCATGATGCAAACATTTGCTTTTCTGGCCATAACTGGGTTTGATAAAGAAAACATTTCGATTTATATCACTAAATATTTTCAGGATGACCCGGCAGGATATGAATTGATAAAGTATATAGAAAGCAATGACCAGATTCAAGAAAATATGGCTCCATTCCCACTTTACATAGCGATGCTTTGTATCTTGTGGCGGACTTCTGATGCCGACAAACGAATTATAATTCGGAAACTTAAAACGTTCTCCCAGCTGTTTACTGCGATAATAATTTCCCTCACAGACCACTGCTTGACAAAACAGCACCAGAACCCTGATGTTAAAATCCTTACAAACAAGGAGATGAAAAATTACCTATCACAAATTGGAAAAATTTCTTACTCTGGAGTTTTAGAAAAAAGGTTGATGTATACCGAAAATGATTTCAGCGGATATAATGAAGCAATGGAGGCATGTTGTAGGATAGGAGTACTGAGTCGAGAAATTCTTATAGTGCCAAGACAGGAAAGGCGTCTGAGTGAGACAAATCCTGTGACCTCAAGCGTATTCTTCCCTCACAAGTTGTTCCAGGAATACCTAGCCGGTATGTATCTTGCCTCTCTTTTTGAGTCTGATCATGAGCAGTATAAAATGGCGATGAATGGTGTAATTCAGAGAGCAGAAGAGTTTCGCTACCTTTTATACTTTACTGCATCTCAAACGAAGAACGTCGCTACTGATGTCACTAGCAGGCTATTTAAAATTGGACATGATAGACGTATTCTAGTAGATGTCACATTTGAAGCGTATGATGAAGACACAGCAAAAGTGGTTGGACAGCACCTCTTTGCAGAACAAAAGTCACTAAAAATCGATGACATGATGTCAGCGCATACTGTGTCAGGATACCTTTTCATCATGGAAAAGTTAACAATGGTGAGATATGAATAGTTGCTCAAAAATGCCACAACTGAAAGAGTAGTGTAAAGTGGAAAAATAAAACATCACATTTTATTATATAAATAATTCATGTATATATCATACAAAAACTATGAACAACAAAAAATAAAATAACTACTTAAAAAGAAAAAGGCGATAGTGGTCGGACAATACATATTTGCAAAACAAAAGTCACTACAAATCAACGACAACATGTCAGCGCACAGTGTGTCCGGATATTTCTTCATCATGGATAAGATAAGAATGGTAAGATTGAACAATAATTATTGCTTAAAAATGCCACATCTTTAAAAAAAGACAATATTGTAACAAAATATAATAAAACATCATATTTTATTACATGTATAAATGATTCTTTTTCCGGGATTTATTTCCGTTGAAAGCCATTTTGCCCTAAACATATTATTTTGGTTATATAAAGTGCGTCCCAGAAAAAACGAAACCGAGAATTATCGATGTTTTATCATAACTTAATCACAATTATAATTAATAAATGACACATATTTGTAAAGCTTAGATCCTCCTCTTTCACGCATGAGTGATTAAAAACAATTTGAAGAGGGGAAACCAAAAAGTCATTTTTAGGGCAGTATCTGAATTTCAAGGAAAAAAATACATTTCTAGAAAGTTCAATTTCTGCCCTTTCATATGACACCTCAATCAGGAAAAATGAGCCAGGAATAACATAGTTCTGTTTGCCTAAAGTAATGCTCGCATTTCCATAATTTGATTAAACGAGTTCGTTTTCACTGGATGCCTGCCGTAGCAACAAACAGAGTCGACAAAAGACTAAACTCCGTTTCGTTGACGATCAGCCATGCACAAAGAAGACGAAAGACTTGATGCCTGGATGATCGTCAACGAAAGTCTGAAATTGTATACGGCTTTTTTATGGAAGAAATGAATGTATGAGAAAAAAAATGGATATGATTCTTTCGCAAATACAATTAGACATACAAAAGTTCTTTAGCACATTTTATTTTATTCATAGGAAACTCTAATAGTGAGTAGAAGATCATGTGGTCCGACAGTTTCCCGTGACCTAGCAGACGTCATCTGCTCATCTACAGCATTTACAGCATTGGAAGTCTATGGCACGGCGCTCCATGACGACTTCTATGGCACCCTGGAGAGTAAAGTCAAAACGTCAAAGGTATGGAGAATCATCACAGAGAGTATGAATGAGGCGGACTGAGGATTATCTGAATGGGGTGGGGGGAGTTGTAAGACATAAATTTTTTTCCCAGAAAAATATATTATACCATCGGCCCTCTCCAGTCATTCTTACCATGTCTTTGTTGGTCATGCTTTACAATATCTATTATTGTCCGCATTTGACAAATAAGGTGACTATGAAATAGTGCAGTAACTTTAGTTATTGATGTTGGTCTCACTCTGAAGCTTTCCGGAACAATTATAAAAAAATTATACACGAAACGAATAGTAAGAATAATGCATTAATTCTCTAGTTATGGTAATATCCATTTAAAAGATTATCGTTTATTGTTGATGCTAATTAGTTTTGCATTTCAATTGGAATTCTTACACAGACTTTTATTTGTAATTATGAGAGTTATTAAAGAAAAAATATGGTTTGACATGTGTTTCTCACCATAATAGGTTGAACGACTATCACTTAAATACATGGCAATATCCAATGAGCAGGCATCACGTTCTCTGGCTAGATTCTTGAATAACCTCCCTAGACTGAAAGATTTGACGCTACAATACAATCGCTTTGACGGACGGTTTTACACCGAGCTAGCCTCTGGAGCACGCTCAGTGGAGGTAAGCAATTTTATTTAAATGAGAACTCACATTATTCGGTCGATATTATCTATAGAAAGAATGCCAAATGTCACAAATGAAAAGATTCGCTATTTCTTTGTGGCCACTGGCGTACTGATTGGGCGGGGGTAAGTTTTCTAAGTAAAAACTCCAATGATACAGACACCATGTACAAGATTTCCTATCAAGAGGATGGGAACTCTTTTCATACCCCTACCAGGCCCTTTCTATAAGCTCGTACAATGATATTTTTTCAAAACTGAGAGAAGTACTGTTATGTGAATTAATGCAAGCAGGGAAGACCCTTTGGGCACTGGAATGTAAAAGGGTAAAAGCGCATCCTATGTACAATGAAACGGAATAAATTTAATCATTATATTTGTGAGGAAAAAGAAAACAAAAAATAGAAAGAACAAGCATGTTAAATTCAATGAACGAAGTATGATTGTTGAAATTAAAATTCGCTTTTAGTTTGCAACCATTGTAAAAAGATATAATGCAAATACCTAAACCAACTCAATTAAGTGAGTATTCGTACTATGTTGACTTCAGATACTCATTTCTGGGAGGACATAGGGGACATACACTGTCGCTCATATACACTGTTGGTCATAATGGTGGAATAATTATTTTTTACCCCAGTTTAGGGAAGGATTTAAAAAAATGAATTATTTCTAATAGATCTAGATAATGGCATACATTCTCAGATTTTATTGAATATTAATTTGCGAGTGTTTGTTTTGCGTGACTGCTAAATCATATGTGTGCTACTACGCTAATCAGCTAAGAGACCTACGTCCTTAAGTCATAATTGACAGTAATGAGGATTAATGCCTCACAAAAGGGCACTAATATATAGCTGATCGACACGATTTTTATCTTGGGGCCTCACAGTAGCGAGGCCATTGCTTAGCCCCTGAATCATGACTGTACGCAGTGGTTGCTAGGGTACGCGGCCGCCCCCACATATCCCCCAAAACGAAGAAAATGCAATAAATTGTCAAAAATTCACTGCATTTTCCCCCGGCCCCCAACAGGAAAAATTCCTCTGTGTGGCCATGCCATGAACCATAATGCATGGATATGTGGGGGCGGCCGCGTACCCTAGCAACCACTGCGTCCAGTCATGATTCAGGGGCTAAGCAATTGCCTCGTTACTGTGAGGCCCCAGGATAAAAATCGTGTCGATCAGCTATATTAGTGCCCTTTTGTGAGGCATTAATCCTAATTACTGTCAATTATGACTTAAGGACGTAGGTTCCCTAGCTGATTAGCATAGTAGCACACATATGATTTAGCAGTCAAGCAAAACAAACACTCGCAAATTAATATTCAATACAATCTGAAAATGTATGCCATTATCTAGATCTATTAGAAATAAATCATTTTTTAAAATCCTTCCCTAAACTGGGGTAAAAATAATTATTCCACCATTATGACCAACAGTGTAGTTGAGATATTTTTGTTTTATCCCAATTTATGGAATTATTTTTAAAATAATTTATTCCTAATGGATCTTGATAATAGTATACATTCTCAGATTTTATTGAATAATAATTTGCCAATGTGTTTTTTGCGTGACTACTATAGCATGTGTATGCTAGTATGCTTATCAACTAGGGGACCTAAGCCCTTAAGTCATAAATGACAGTAATGAGGATTAATGCCCCACAAAAGGGAGCACATCGACACGGTTTTGATCCAGGGGCCTCGCAGATACGAGGCCATTGCTTTGTCACTGAACCATGACTGTACGCAGCGGGGGCTAGGATAGGGGTCAGTTTCCATAAATAAAAATAAAAAAGAAAATGCAATACATTTTCAATAATTTATTGCATTTTACCCCGGTCCCCAACATTAAAAAAAATCCTCTGTACGGCCATGCATTATGGCTCAAAGCGTGAGATCTATGACAAATGGATGGTTAGTTCCACAAAGAAAATGCAATAAATTATCAATAATTCATTGAATTTCCCCCTGGTCCCCAACCGAAAAATAAACTTCTGTGTGCCCATGCCTTGAGCCATAATGCATGGCCGTACAGAAAATTTTTTTTTATGTTGGGGACCGGGGCAAAGCAATGGCCTCGTAACTGTGAGGCCCCAGGATCAAAACCGTGTCGATGTTCCATATTAGTGCCCTTTTGTGGGGCATTAATCCTCATTACTGTCATTTATTACTTAACTCATAGCCTGCCATGAGGCTGCGTGCACGCTATTGTTACGCTGCTTCTTGCATGCTAGCAAACATTCGTAATAGCAGTTATTGTTCATGCCCATTGGACTGTGCCTAGTGTTTTGCACGCGCTATTGTTAGTACCATCGCCTTAATCCAATTACCTCGTTATAAATCTGGCACTGGAGGGATTAGCCCTGTGGCAGGATAAGAGTTAAGGGCGTAGGTCCCCTAGTTGATAAGCATAGTAGCATACACATGCTTTAGAAGTCACGCAAAACAAACACTGGCAAATTATTATTCAATACAATCTGAGAATGTATGTAATTATCTAGATCTATTAGGAATAAATCATTGTCAAAATAATTCCATAAATTGGGGTAAAACAGAAATATTCTAACTATATGAGCGACAGTGTACATTTTCAGTGATATTTACCAATGCAACTCACAGAGATTGGAGCGTCAATTTGGATTTCAAGAAAATTACATTTTTTATATGATATACAACATATGTCATAATTATTTGCCTGTCATATCTTCATTGGGGGCCCTTTTTATAACTGAACTGTTACCTTAAAACGTGATTGCAATCACTTAAGTCGATTCGACAACTAATAGTCGTTATTTTCCCACTAAAAGCCATTTTCAAGCCCTTTCGTTTTGAGGGAAGGTCTGAATTAGTATTTTCTTTCAAATGCCGTTGGAATTTAACCTTTTCATTTGTTTGGCCTGCAAATGGGACATAGTACCTTTAAAGGCGAGAAACTGTTTTTTGTTTGTTAATGTTCTGTACTACATGTATGGATCACCCAATATCATATATCATTTTAGATCTTTTTTTTAATGTTATATCATATCATAATATCTTATATTTTATTATACCACATTACAGTGCATTTAATTATATTATGTTATTCATTTATTTATCAATTTATGTACAGTGCTATTATAAGCAGGGTTGCCTCCTCAGTTCATAAACTGCTATCCGTGAGGACCTTACATAATTAAAAAAAAACAATGCATATATAATATTTAAACACATAAATAACACAATAAACAAACATTAAGAGTACAAAGATAAAATAACATAAGAAACGAGTATTATGAACCTTGAGTTATATTACATATAATCATACTTAATCCATTCAAATTTAGGAAAATGCTCACAAAACTGAAGGAAAAAAACATAGGGCAAATAAGGAAAGTATCATATTAAGTAGCGATACATTGTATCAATTAAACAAATCATAGTCCATCTAATATCACATCATTCTAGGAAATTGAAGAGACTGATAATGATTCTCATACCTTTATGAATTGTGTAAAATTGTCTTTGATCCTGTTTGGATCAAACAAGATCGTAATTCCAATGCTTATTTCCTTAATTTTAAAGATTATCTTATAATTTGTTATGTTTGTTTTATCCTATTTTCACATATATATATATAGGTTAGAGCGTCAGGTCATTCTGTACGTAAACTTCACCTAGATCATCGGTGCCACAACGACATACTGCAGCATGGCTTTACTGTGGAAATGTTATTTCCAAACTTGGAGCGCCTGATTTTCACTTCTTCCCAAACAGTGTCCCCTGACATCGTAGGATCCTTTGGTCATTGTGGGCTTAAAGAGTTGTCATTCGCCACAGAAAACAGACAGGGCAACACTAAAGAGGATGAAGAATATCATGTCCCTCTGGTCGGAGATCCCTCCTCTCTGGAACATGTTTTCTTGAAGTCGTTTCCACTACTTACCAATCTCTCATTCAAAGAGCTTGTGATTGGAAACAATCGTTGTAAAATAATACTGAGCTCTCTCAAACAGCATCAGCACTTGAAAAACTTATGGTAAGACATTACGTAAAATTCCAAAGTCAATATAACATTTTGAAGATGGATGTTGTAAAATAGAATAGTGTAGTGACCAAATATGTTTTTGTTTTAAATTGTCGCTTCGAGCACATGCTTGTGAAATGCAAACTTCCACAAGTCTAGTTCCCCGCCGAGGGTCGGTATTTCAACGAAAATGAGGGGTCCCTCTGCCTTGTAAATCTGTAAAGTGGTTGTCTAGACCCTCCCCTCCAAAATTTAGAAAAAGCCATGAAGTATCTAAATTAACGATTCACATTTGCTCGACCCCACTGAGAGAACTGAGAAATGGACCTACACTTATATGTGCGGTCAAAAGTGTTCAAACTACAGAATGCAAATTTTCTTGCTTGGTCAATGCGCTCCCTCGCAAAACAAAAATGTAATTTGGCAAAGTGCGTGGATAGAATGTGAAATCGATCTTCCCAATTAAATCGCTATGTGTTCACATGAATTTTCCGTTTCTCTCTTTCCTTTTTGCACCATCCCCTACCACCACAATTTTTGTTCCAGGTCCAAGCCTCCGGGTCGAGCCTGTTCAGCCTCCCCCCTCCCCCGCACTTTCAACAACACTCCGATCCCTGATTATATCTGAGACTTTTCGCAGTGTTATTACATAGTATTATGTAGCGAGGGAGGGGGATACCCCCCATCTAGATTATGGAGGTTTTCGCAAATTGAATGTCTGAAACTTGATTCTGGAGGTAATGTGTACAAACATAAAAGACTCTGGGTGACTCTAGGCTTGGCGAGCTTATATTCGTAAAATACACGAATTGCAATAGATTGATGATGACAGTAGCCAGACTGTTTTAAATACAAACGCGCAATGGAGCGTAGCCACCATCAAGCAAGGTAATTTTTTGGAATTCTGAACCTTTGCCTTTACCTGTACAATGCGTGTATTTTGTGGCATTATGCTAGGTTTACTTTGACACTATTTATATTTCCTATCTGGAGTGACGGTCCAGTTGAGGATTTCATATGGGAAACTTATCCTTAACTATTTGCTTATAGTGAAACCTATTAATCTAATTGTATTCACCTCCTTATAACCAAATGTCTGCCTGTGATATAATTTAACATTTGGGATCAAAATACCGTATAGTAATGCGTTCCATTACCCCGTTAACGTCAAAATAGATTTATTTTACGCGATGCACTAAGGACTCATTTTCAGGAATGTTTTCCTTTTTGGAAACTGTGGTACTCACCCTATATTTTTGTTGCAACTTTTTATAAATTGCCAAGGGATAAAGACATGTGCCCACATCTGCCCCACTCACCGATTCAGGATCACATCCCCTGATTTGGCTCAGTTTCAAGTACAAACAAGTTGTACAATGTCAAATATATCAGAGTTCCTTAGTAACACTTTTTACCTGTCTGAACAAAATGAATGTAATTAGTATTTACATGTTAAGGGACAGGGGTAGATAATGTATATGTTGACAAATTGAGCATGAGCGAAATGGTCATATTTGCCAATCAACTAAAGTTTTGAACATCCCTTTAGGATTGCATTCCCATTAGTTTATTTCACTTTATTTTGCATAATTATTTTTGTTAAATCCTCGCCACAGCATATAATTATTTATTGTAAGGCCACATTAACGAATGACGCCAGGACGCTGTAAACATTTTTCTTTTTCTTTCGAGAAGGAATAAGTTGCTCGATTCTTTCGTACTTCATGCAAAACTGGATGAAAGACGCACTTTTACATGCTTCATCTTTAGGTTTTACCAAGAATTATAGTTTGAAGCTAATGACAAGCTTTAAAAGTATATACCTTTATTCAATGACTTTTTGATCGTGTCTTTACAGCGTCATTCACTGTTACACTGATGATGATCTCGACCCCATTGTGTCAGCTATCAACATGGAAAACAGGATGAAGGTTAATGTTCAACATGACCAGGTAAATACATATTTTTTTGGAGGCATCGATACAATATCAACACACTTTTAATCACAGACCTGATGTAGATGTAATAAAAGCTAATTTACATATGTTAACCCAGTAATTTAATTCACATCATAAAATTCACATCCTACAAGAAGAGAAGTGAATTCATCAGAGCACGACGCAAACTTAAAGGTACGAAAACAACAATCCAGGAGGACTTAACTACAAAAAACCAAGAACTCTACACAAAAACATTCAAGTGCAAGGATGTTCTGGCTTCTTGGACTAGTGATGGGCGAATCTTTGCCCTCGTCAAGGCCACCAATGGCAAGGAGGTACGAAAACTTATCACTTGTACCCATGATCTCGACATCCTGTCCAAAGCGAACTGAAAGCATAGTGATTCAAATAGAGTTAATTGCATCCTCAATACACGTCCCTGATCATGTCTTTTTATAGCCTAAGTTTTACTATTGTATTTTTTAAATTTATTCTTTCTTTATCAAACAGTTTTAGCTAAATTAATTAATTATTTAGTTATCTTTTTATTACCCAACATTTTGTACTCATTATTGTTACATATGTGTGTTTTTGTAATGTCAGTTGTAAATGTTTATTTTATATGTAACAGGCAAATAATTACCAAAAGTATCAAACTTATACATATGTGCCAAAATATCTGTATCCTTATATCGTTAACTGAATAATACAAGGGATAATACTTCTCTGGGATATTTACAGTTTGAATCTAAATATTTGTTACCTAATGAATTTGATGATTATGTTAGTTCTTGTGACGGAAATGGTATGTTTTCTATCGCACATTTTAATTGTAGAAGTTTGAAGAGAAATTTCGAAAATATGAGTAATTTTTTGAAATGTTTTACACATACATTTTCACTCATTGGATTAACAGAAACATGGTTAACCAATACAGATACACCCCTTTTAGAATTGCCAAATTATATTTTTATTACAAACAACCGTCAAAACAAGTGTGGTGGAGGAGTAGGTATTTATCTTAACAATTGTTTAACATTTAAAAGACGAGAAGACTTAGAGATATTGAATGACTGTGTAGAAACGATTTGTGCTGAAATTTATTGTCATAATAACAATGTTGTTATTATTGTAGTATATAGACCTCCAAGTAAACCATTATCAACATTTTTGGAAGGTGTTGAACTAATAATGCATAAAATATTGAATGAGAAGAAAGAATGTTACTTTCTTGGTGATTTTAATGTTGACCTACTTTCTCCAAGTCCATCTGTCAGTACTTTTGTTGATTTATTTACGTCATACTCTTTTTTACCTGTGACATCAAAACCAACCAGAATTACACCTCACTCTGCAACCCTCCTCGACAATATATTTACAAACGAATCTGATAATGTTATTAAGTCAGGTATACTTGTTTCTGATGTCAGCGATCACTTACCAATTTTTTTAATCATTGATTGCGATTTTGTGAATGAAATAATAAGTTATGTAACATTTAAACGTAATATTGACGATGATTCCATTGTAAGATTTTTTATACTTTTACGTAATCAAAATTGGGAAGAAGTTTATAAATCAAATGATGTTGATCAAAAATTTTGTACATTTCTTGATCGATATATTTTACTTTATAATGCATGTTTTCCCTTGAAAAAAACTGTGCAAAAAAGAAAAAAAAGTGATAAACCATGGTTTAATGCATCTTTGAAGAAAAAATGCAAAAAAATATATAAATTGTATCATAGGTTTATAACTAATCCTACTCCTCATAGGGAAGCTAAATTTAAATGTTATAGAAATGTTGTAAACGATGAAATACGAAAATGTAAACGTGATTATTATAATAATAAATTTAATAGTTGTAGAGGAAATATCCATAAGACCTGGAAAGCTATAAATGATGTTTTGAAGAAATCTAATGGCAAGAAACAATGTCAAACTATATTGTATAATGGTGAATTAACTGATGATAAAAATGTAATTGTTAATGGTTTCAATGAATATTTTGGTGATAACTTGCCGAATTTGAATGTAGATTTTAACAGTTTTTTTAATAATGTAAATGACTCTCAATCAATGTTCTGTGAATCCATAACATTTGCAGAAATGTTAGATATTGTAAAAAAAATTAAGGATAATGCAAGTCCAGGTGACGACGACATTAATACAAAAGTTTTTAAAAAATCTATCTGTTTTGTTTTTAAACCATTGTGCAATATTTTTAATCTCTCTCTGGATCAAGGAGTGTTTCCTCATAGACTTAAGATTGCTAAAGTTATCCCAGTTTTTAAAAAGGGGGATCGAGCCCAATTATCTAATTATAGACCAATTTCGCTTTTATCAATTTTTTCCAAGACTTTCGAAAAACTTGTTTATAAGAGACTTATTTCATTTATTGATCAAAATCAGATTTTATACAAAAGACAGTTTGGATTCAGAAAAGGTTATTCGACATATATGGCTCTTGTAGAATTAACTAACAAAATATCTCTAGTATTCGAGGAAAAAGAAATTTCTTATTGGTATATTTTTAGATTTATCGAAAGCATTCGACAGCATTAATCACGAAATACTTTTAAACAAAATGGAACGCTATGGTATAAGAGGTACACCCCTAAAATGGTTTCGGAGTTATGTCAGTGATCGTAAACAATATACATTTATAGACAACCACAAATCTGATTTATGTAATATATCTGTTGGTGTGCCCCAGGGATCCGTTTTGGGGCCCCTATTATTTCTATTGTTCATAAATGATCTTCAATTTATTAGTGATGTATTATAATCAATTATCTTTGCCGATGACACAATTCTCTTTATTTCAGGTAATGATGTAGCAGAAGTTAATAATGTATTGAACGTAGAAATGAAAAATGTTACTAAGTGGTTCTCTGCTAATCGATTGGCTGTAAATATTGATAAAACTTGTTACATGATATTCAAACCTAAGAATAAGTTCATTAATGAAGACTTAATACAAATATTTATTGGAGATTGCTTAATACAACAAGTTAAACAAACACAATTTTTAGGAGTTACAATTGATGATAAAATAACATGGAAATTACATATTGATGACATTTGTTCAAAAAATTTCTCAAGCCGTAGGGGTAATGAATAGATTAAGAACTGTTGTTCCAATGAGGATTCTTTTAACCCTGTATTACACAATGATTTTACCTTATTTATCATATTGCAATATTGTATGGGGTAACAGTGCACTGTATCTTAGAAATAGAATTGGAGTACTCCAGAAGCGTGCAATACGAGTTATTTGCAATTCACAACCTCTTGCCCACACAACCCCTTTATTTCAGCAGTTGAGTATTTTAAAAGTGGATCAAATGTGTAGTTTGCAAATTGCAATTTTTATGTACTCCTATTTTAAGAACATTTTACCAGATAGTTTTAATAATTATTTCACTTCAAATTGTACAATTCATAGCCATAGTACCAGAAATTCAAATCACTTAAGATTACCGTTATAGTTTCTCTCAAACAACAATTTCTTACACTGGTGTAAAATCCTGGAATTCAGTACCAGTAGAGATTAAGAACAGTCCGACACTTTCTAATTTTAAACGTAAATTTAAACTGTATATTTTACATAAAAACAATTCACAAACTTATAGTGGTACAATATAATTTTTTTGTTTGCCTGTTTAATTTGCCAACTTAATTTTGTTTTTATCATGTACTGTACGTCGCTATTGTTTGTGGTTTTTTGGTTTGTTTTTGTTTTTTGTTTGTTTATATATATAAAATATCCAAAATATCTAATATTGTTCTGGGGATTAGCCTCGACAGGCCCCTGGCTTTTGTTTGTCCCCCCACATTTTTTTTATATCTACATGTATTTAGTTGTTCTTTGTTTACGGACTTTAGATTTTGTTTGCTATTTGTTTCTCTTAATATTATTGTTTGTTAATTGTGTATTTTTTATATGTCTGAACATGTATGTATACTTTTTGTTTTTTTATGAACCACATGTGGAAATAAAACTTGAACTTGAAACTTGAACTTGAATTTCAACTTCGGGCTTATGCCGTTTCGAAGTGAAACATCATGAGCAAAAACCGAAATTCTCTCCCAGTGAAACAAAATATTGATTAAAAAAATATGCACAGATCTGAAGAGCTAGATATCATTGACACTAACCACAAATAGAATTTATTTCATTTCTTTATGGTAATAATCAGTAATCGCTCAATAATATACAGTTCCGATAATTATGATGGGTGAAGGTTACCTCCTATGAATCCCAATGCAGCACGATTGACTTTGATTAAAATTTACGAGAATTGAGTCTCTGCTCCAGACTTTCTTACCTATTTCTACAACCAAATATTTTCAAAATGTTGTCATGTAGCAGCAATTTAACAAGACCTATTTTCACTACTGGTCCTGCAATCAAAATTTCACAAATACGACCATACCTCTTGAATTTTATTCTGGACTCATTTACATCTCATTTACACCTCATTGAAACTGTGGAAATGACTATAAACCGATTTCAAACCGACTTACTTTTCGTCATTGGGGTAATGAAATTGTTTGAATATTCTGTTGTCAACTTGTGTCGGTCTCAGTGTCACTGGAATATCAATTTTATAATTAATTAATTATATTATTTGTAACAGGCCCAGAAACATATCAAATGTGTAAAAATGTCATCAAGCTTAGCGGATGCTCTGTGCAATCGGACATCCATACAGGAGTTGAGTCTGATGGAGAAAACCATCTTCTCCAATGCTTGGTTTTCAGAGGAAAACGAAAGAAAAATAGACTCGAAGGTAATTATAAGTGTGTCAGTGTATTGGCAGCCAATTCTTCTCATTGAGTTATGTTCCTCGATATGTCGCAAATGTTAATGAGAAGTTACCCATATGAGCTAACATGTACGTTGTTGTTGAACATGGCAAAATCTTAGCAAATCGGGAAATAAAAATGAATGTCGCCGCTTCCCTTCAAGCCGACGAAAAAGGAACCCCAAAGAGGTAGCTTACTGACTAAATTACATTGATGGTCGTCAGTGCGGATGTCCAGACGCGTAGCCAGGGGGGCAGTGGGGGCGGTTGCCCCCCCCCCCCCCCGAAAACAGACGTAGGAACAAAAAGGAGCAGATAAAGAAACATTTTTGAAAATTCAGAAAAGGATTAAGAGTCGACAATGGTACAACGAATCGTCTTCTTTCTCTAATAATTTAATGAAACGTCAAAGCTTCCGCGCCTCGCCCGGGAGGGGGGGGGAAACTGAATTCAGACAAGAATTAAGAGTCGAGCACGGCACAACGAATCGTCTTCTTTCTCTAATAATTTAATTAAAAACGTCAAAGCTTCCGCGCTCCGCGTGAGAGGAGGAAACTGAATTCATAGAAAGATTAAGAGTCGAGAACAGTTCAACGAATCGTCTTCTTTCTCTAATAATTTAATGAAACGTCAAAGCTTCCGCGTGAGAGGAGGAAACTGAATTCAGAGAAGTATTAAGAGTCGAGAACAGTACAACGAATTGTCTTCTTTCTCTAATAAATTAATGAAATGTCGAAGCTTTCACGTTTTGCGCGAGAGGAGGGGGAAAACTGAATTCAGACAAGGATTAAGAGTCGAGAACGGTACAACGAATCGTCTTCATTCTCTATAATTGAATGAAACGTCAAAGCTTCCGGGCCTCCCCCGGGAGGGGGGAACTAAATTCAGACAAGAATTAAGACTCGAGAACGATAAAACGAATCGTGTTTTTTGTAATATAACAAAAATTGAACGCAATTTGAATGCGTGTTTTAAGTCATTGCACGAAAATAAACTTGATCTCTCATTCCGCATGTTTTGTCGAAATTAATTCTTTTCCCATGGAATCACATCGACATGATGACAACATTAAGCATGTTAAGACACAATTTTAGTGTGTTCAGAAGAGCGCTTTGCCATGAACATGGTCAAATACTGTTTCATTTCATTTTACACAGATGTCTTAATCGCGTAGTAGGTGGGGAGCGAATGAAGTCACTGATCACTTATTGCGCCTCTTATCAGTAATGTTTTTCCTTTAAAATCAATCTCATATAAGCATTCATCAATCAACTCCTGAGCATGTTTATAAGTGGTCCTTTCTAAAGAAAAAAAAGAAGATTTACTTCATTTCGAAAGGCCTAATGCCGATGCATTGGTAATGTAGAATGAAAACAGACATGTAGATAAACCGTTGGTGAATGGGCTTCCTTGGTGAAATGTAATTTAATATTAATGAATAGATAAAATAGGCAGTTAGTTGAATTACATTTATTGTTGATTTTATTTTCACCCTTTGTTCACCTACGCACAGTGATGTCAGCAATCCCTTTCATTATATGAAGTTAAATGAGTATAATTTTGTCCCTTGGGGGTGGAAATTCCTACTCATTACGAGCAAACAAAATGAGTTAAACCGTATCTAGTAAAGAAAAATCATTTGATGTTTTATTATCATAATGTGAATTATCGTTTCGTTTTATTATTCGACCCTTAATGACTGTGATGTTTAGTAATTACAGCTCCTATACCACATCCCTTGATTTTTTTTTCGGTTTAGAACTTTTCTTTTTTCTTTTCTTTTTTTATCGTTACATAGCACATTTTAAAAAATTACCTTGATAACAGGGGCAATTCGATGGACATGCAATACTTTAATAGTACATCATTATTATGATTAATTCTATAGCGTGTTAACCTACAATGAAATCGATACACTGACGGTCATGAACATTATAAAAGTATATTATGTATTCCCTATCGTTTAAAATTGATAGTTTTCAAATTTTGTGTGTTCTTTTTTTTTTGTCGCCATAAATGGCATCTCAACAGATAGAGAAGGTGTGCATTCACGGTTTTCATCTAAACGAGAATGACCCAACAGCATCACGTGACCTAGTCAGGTTTCTGTGTCTCCTGCCATGTCTTACCGACCTGATGATAAAGGGCTCTAGATCTGACAGTCATTACAATCGTCTTTTCCTTCTTGATGATTTCTACCACGAACTTGCTCGTCAGGCCTCATCCTCAAAGGTGATTTGCAAGGTGTATAACGTTAACCAGGAATTCGAGACATTGGCCATATTATGGTTAACTAGAATAATGAATAATGAAACTGTAATCTACTTTGTACCACAATTTACGAGCAAACAAAATGAGTTAAACCTTATCTAGTAAAGAAATATCATTTGATGTTTTATTACCATAATGTGAATGATCGTTTCGTTTTATTAATCAACCCTTAATGACTGTGATGTTCAGTAATTACAGCTCCTACCACATCCCTTGATATTTTTTTTTCGGATTAGAACTTCAAGCTAAAAGCTTAATTACAGTCAAATAAATTTGAAAATGTAAAAGTTATGTTTATCGGTACATAGCACATTTAAAAAAATTACCTTGATAACAGGGGCAATTCGATGGACATGCAATACTTAGTACATCATTATTTTGTTCTAATTCTATAGCGTGTTAACCTACAATGTAATCAATACACTGACGGTCGTGAAAATGATAAAAGTATATTATGTATTCCCTATATTTTAAAATGGATAGTTGTCAATTTTTTTGTGGTCTTTTTTTTGTCGCCATAAATGGCATCTCAACAGATAGAGAAGGTGTGCATTCACGGTTGTCATCTAAACAAGAATGTCCCAACAGCATCACGTGACCTAGCCAGGTTTCTGTGTCTCTTGCCTTGTCTTACCGAACTGATGATAAAGGGCTCTGACGATCAATATATTAATCTTCTATTCCTTCGTGATGATTTCTACCACGAACTTGCTCGTCAGGCCCCATCTTCAAAGGTGATTTGCAAGGTGTATAACGTTAACCAGGAATTCGGGACATTGGCCATAGTATGGTTAACTAGAATAATGAATAATGAAACTGTAAACTACTTTGTACCACAATTTACGAGCAAACAAAATGAGTTAAACCATATAGTAAAGAAAAGGCCTTTGATGTTTTATTACCATAATATGAATGATTGTTTCGTTTTATTAATCGACCCTTAATGACTGTGATGTTTAGTTATTACAGCTCCTACCACATCCCTTGATATTTTTTTTTCGGTTTAGAACTTCAAGCTAGCTTAATTACAGTCAAATAAATTCAAAATGTAAAAGTTATGTTTATCGGTACATAGCACATTTTAAAAAATTACCTTGATAACAGGGGCAATTCGATGGACATGCAATACTTTAATAGTACATCATTATTATGTTCTAATTCTATAGCGTGTTAACCTACAATGAAATCGATACACTGACGGTCATGAAAATTATAAAAGTATATTATGTATTCCCTATCGTTTAAAATTGATAGTTCTCAAATTTTGTGTGTTCTTCTTTTTTTTTGTCGCCATAAATGGCATCTCAACAGATAGAGAAGGTGTGCATTCACGATTGTGATCTAAACAAGAATGACCCAACAGCATCACGTGACCTAGCCAGGTTTCTTTTTTTCCTGCCTTGTCTCACCGACCTGACGATAAAGGGCTCTGACGATCAATTTAATCATATTTTCCTTCATGATGATTTCTACCACGAACTTGCTCGTCAGGCCTCATCCTCAAAGGTGATTTGCAAGGTGTATAACGTGTACCTGGAATACGGGACATTGGCCATATGGTTACCTAGAATGATGAATAATGAAACTGTAATCTACTTTGTACCACAATTTACGAGCAAACAAAATGAGTTAAACCGTATCTAGTAAAGAAAAGTCATTGATGTTTTATTACCATAATTTGAATGATTGTTTCTTTTCATTAATCGACCCTTAATGACCGTGATGTTCAGTAATTACAGCTTCTACCACATCCCTCGATATTTTGTTTTCGGTTTAGGACTTCAAGCTAAAAGCTTAATTACATTCAAATTTATGTTTATCGGTACATAATACATTTAGAAAAAGTACCTTGATAATAGGCGCAATTCGATGGACAGCAGTACTTAGTACATCATTATTATGTTTTAATTCTATAGCGTGTTAACCTACAATGTAATCGATACACTGACGGTCATGAAAATGATAAAAGTATATAATGTATTCCCTATCGTTTAAAATTGATAGTTCTCAAATTGTGTGTGTGTGTTGTTGTTTTTTGTCGCCATAAATGGCATCTCAACAGATAGAGAAGGTGTGCATTCACGGTTTTCATCTAAACAACAATGACCCAACAGCATCACGTGACCTAGCCAGGTTTCTGTGTCTCCTGCCTTGTCTCACCGACCTGACGATAAAGCACTATGCCGATAAACTTTTCCATCGTGATGATTTCTACCTCGAACTTGCTCGTCAGGCCTCATCCTCAAAGGTGATTGGCAAGGTGTTTTAACGTTAACCAGGAATACGGGACATTGGCCATAGTATGGTTAACTAGAATGATGAATAATGAAACTGTAAACTACTTTGTACCACAATTTACGAGCAAACAAAATGAGTTAAACCATATAGTAAAGAAAAGTCCTTTGATGTTTTATTACCATAATATGAATGATTGTTTCGTTTTATTAATCGACCCTTAATGACTGTGATGTTTAGTAATTACAGCTCCTACCACATTCCTAGATTTTGTTTCGGTTTAGAACTTCAAGTTAAAAGCTTAATTACAGTCAAATAAATTCAAAATGTAAAAGTTATGATTATCGGTACATAGCACATTTTAAAAAATTACCTTGATAACAGGGGCAATTCGATGGACATGCAATACTTTAATAGTACATCATTTTTATGTTCTAATTCTAAAGGGTGTTAACGTACAATGTAATCAATACACTGACGGTCATGAAAATGATAAAAGTATATTATGTATTCCCCGCTATCGTCTAAAATTGATAGTTCTCAAATTGTGTGAGTTCTTTTTTTTTTGTCGCCATATTATTACCATAATGTGAATGATTATTAATCGACCCTTTATGACCGTGATTTTCAGTAATAACAGCTCCTACCACATCCCCTGATATTTTTGTTTCGGTTTAGAACTTCAAGCTAAAAGCTTAATAACAGTCAAATAAATTCAAAATGTAAAATTTATGTTTATCGCTACATCACACATATTAAAAAATTACATTGATAATACTTAATAGGCGCAATTTGATGGACATGCAGTATTTAGTACATCATCATTATTTTCTAATTCTATAGCGTCTTAACCTACAATGTAGTTAATACACTTACGATCATGAAAATGATAAAAGTATATTATCTATTCCCTATCGTTTGAAATTGATAGTTCACAAATTGTGTGTGTTCTTTTTTTCCTGTCGCCATGAATGGCATCTCAACAGATAGAGAAGGTGTGCATTTATGGTTGTAATCTAAACAAGAATGACCCAACAGCATCACGTGACCTAGCCAGGTTTCTGTGTCTCCTGCCTTGTCTTACCGACCTGACGATAAAAAACTCAGACGATCAATACGCATATCTTTTTCTTAGCGATGATTTCTACCTCGAACTTGCTCGTCAGGCCTCATCCTCAAAGGTGATTTGCAAGGTGTTTAACGTTTACCTGGAATACGGGACATTGGCCACATAGGCGCCGGAAGTGGGGGGGGCAAAACGCATTTTTGCCCCCCAAAAACGCCCCCCCCCCCCTCCAAAAAAAAAAAAAAAGCAGTAAAGGAGTTAAGATAGTTTGTATTTTTAACCCAAAAGAACATAACAATAATAAAAACCTGACTTAAATGACGTATAAAATTCCATTCAAAGAAAAGGAAAGTTGACAGGAATTAAATTTTCTAAACATTGCGAATGCTACCTATATTTATCAATGGAGGTTTTTATAATAGCGATACGCGCATATCGTGGTCATATCGTGAGAGAATGGGAAAGCGTGTCTGTTTTTTGTTATAGCGGTGAGAAGCTCATGATACCCTGAACGCTGGCGTACTGATGCGGGGAGGGGGGGGGGGTAATTTTTATTCGATACCAGTGATTTACAAATGTTGATTGAAATGACATGATTTTCCGGTATTTTTTCTCAATTTTTTTGTAAGTCATACCTTTTTATGCGTTTCTTGGAAAATTTGAAATTCCCAAATTTACAGTCGGGCGAAAAATATACTTATTTAGAAGCCTTTATGTCAGGGTCTGCAGAACGGCCGGGCTCGGGGGCTCGAGACCCCCTCACTTTTTGAAAAAGTTTGTTACAGAGAAAAAGAAAGAAAGAGAGAGAGAAAAAAAAAGGTGACCTGCCAAAGTCACAAATGAGGTATCAAAATATGCTCATCTGACCGTAATTAAATACCGAAAACCCCAGAGCTTACGGGGGCTCCGCCCCCGCACCCCACCAAGGGCCCTAAGGCGGTCCCCTGTATGCTCATCTGACCGTTATTAAATACCTAAAACCCCGGAGCTTACGGGGGCTCTGCCTCCGGAGCCCACCAAGGGCCCTTAGTCGGTCCCCTGTGCTCATCTGACTGTTATTAAATACCTAAAACCCCAGAGCTTACGGGGGCTCCACCCCCGGACCCCACCAAGGGCCCTAAGGCGGTCCCCTGTATGCTCATCTGACCGTTATTAAATAACTAAAACCCCTGAGCTTCCGGGGGCTCTGCCCCCTGGACCCTTCCAAATAAGGGCCCTAAGGCGGGGCCCTGGATGCTCATCTGACCGTAATCAAATGCCTAAAACCCCAGAGCTTACGGGGGCTCCGACCCCGGACCCCATCAAGTGCCCTAAGGCAGTCCCCTGTATGCTCATCTGACCGTTATTAAATAACTAAAACCCACGAGCTTTCGGGGGCTCTGCTCCCTGGCCTCTCCGCCAATTAGTGTCCTGCCAGTGTCACAAATAATGTATCTAAATATGCTTATCTGACCATAATTGTAATGCCTAAAACCTCTGAGCTTCTGGGGGCTCAGGCCCTGGACCCTACGGCAATTTACGCTCTACCTGATCGTTAATAATCCACTTTGAAAAACGTTCCGCGGGGACTGCATGTAAAGTGTAAGAGTGGTGGTGATGCAGATTTTTCTTCTGACCCCCCCCCCCTCCAAACATTTTTGCTCGTTACGTCACTGCCACTGGAAGGTGAGCCCCCTGGAATGTTTGCCCCCCCCCCCAATCCCTAACTGCTTCCGGCGCGTCTGATTGGCCATAGGTTAACTAGAATGGTGAATAATGAGAAACTGTAAACTACTTTGTACCACAATTTACGAGCAAACAAAATGATTTAAACCGTAACTAGTCAAGAAAAATCATTTGATGCTTTATTACCATAATGTGAATGATTATTTCGTTTTATTAATCGACCCTTAACCCTAATAAGGCCTGGGGCCATTAATCCCCCCCCCCCCCCAGGCGCGGATCAAGGGTTTCTTAGGGGAGGGGGCCCAACTTTGTTTTACTTTTTTGCTTCCGAAAATTTGAATCGCGCCGGCCGAAAAGTCGCTCAGTGGGGGGGGGGGGGGGGGTAGTTAGCACATTTTTTTTTAAATTTGCACCCCCCCCCCCCCTTGAGCACCAGGGGGGGGGGGGGGCCCAACCCCCCAAAAAGGTAAAAATCACGTGATTTTACATGATTTGTTTCTCAAGGGGGGCCCGGGCCCCCCCCCCCCCCCCCCTTCGCGATTTTTTTTGCTTGTTCGGGAACGCATACGGATGGCGCTCCGCCGTTCGCTGACTTTTGTTTTCGAGTCTTCCGCATCTTTTTAAACATTTCTTTTTGAAAATCAGACGTACAGTTACAAAGTCAAGTTACCTTTTGTCTTTGCATGTCAGCCCGAAAATCGCTCATCGGTTTTCGTGATTTGTGTAAAAAAAACATATGGGATGTCATTTTTCCTAAAAGGAGATAAAACATTAGTTAATGGGTCTTGTTTAAAGGTTTGGTGTTTGTTTAGGGAGTCAAAACAGTTGAATTGTAGTTAGAAATGAAATAAAACAACAAAACAATAAAATACATCAGTTAAAAAACAATAAAATACATAAGAAATTATCAATACAAAATATAGAATAAGGAAAAACCTAGCTCTTTCATTTTTTTTTGTCGTATTATTGATTCAAATGGTCTAAGGAATACATGTAGTGAAAAAGAATGCTTAAATAAAAGAATATATGAATTATGGGTTAAAAAGGTGAATTTTATTACCTTATTTACATAAATTACCATAAATATGCAAATGAGTGAATTTTTCAAGAAATGAAATTTACCATAGTATTCTATACACTTCACTTGACATGCGTGCAAATTTTCGCGGTGAGCGGCCGAGATGTTAGGGGGGCCATAATGCCCCCCCCCCCCCCGGCCGTATTAAGACCTCAAATAGCCCGGCCTTTTTAGCGTTAATGACCGTTATGTTCAGTAAGTACAGCTCCTACCACATCCCTTGATATGTGTTTTGCTTTAGAACTTCAAGCTCAAAGCTTAATTACAGTCAATTTAAATTCAAAATGTTAAATTTAGGCCAAAAGTCATTACAATCATGAAAATGATAAAAGTATATCATGTTTTCCCTATCGCTTAAAATTTATAGTTCTGAAATTGTGTGTGTTCTTTTTTTGTTGTCGCCATGAATGGCATTTCAACAGATACAGAAAGTGTGCATTCAGGGTTGTAATCTAAACGAGAATGACCCAACAGCATCACGTGACCTAGCCATGTTTCTGTGTCTCCTGCCATGTCTTACCGAACTGATGATAAAGGGCTCTGACAATCATTACAATCGTCTTTTCCTTCGTGATGATTTCTACCATGAACTTGCTCGTCATGCCTCATCCTCAAAGGTGATTTGCAAGGTGTATAACGTTTACCTGGAATACGGGACATTGGCCATATGGTTACCTAGAATGATGAATAATGAAGCAGTAAACTACTTTGTACATGTACCACAAATTACGAGCAAACAAAATGAGTTAAACCGCATCTAGTAAAGAAAAGTCTTTTGATGTTTTATTACCATAATGTGAACGGTTGTTTCTTTTTAATACTCGACCCTTAATGACCGTGATGTTCAGTAATTTAAAAATTCCTACCACATTCCTTGATGATTTTTTGTTTTCGGTTTATTACTTCAAGCTTAAAGCTTAATTACAGTCAAATAAATTAAATATGTAAAAATTTATATTCATCGGTACATAGCACATGTAGAAAAATTACCTTGATAACAGACGCAATTCGATGGACATGCAATACTTAGTACATCATTATTATGTTTCAGTTCTATAGCGTGTTAACCTACAATGTAACTAATGCACTGACGGTCATGAAAATGATAAAAGTATATCATGTATTTCTTATCGCTTAAAATTGATAGTTCTGAAATTGTGTGTGTTCTTTTTTTGTTGTCGCCATGAATGGCATCTCAACAGATACAGAAAGTGTGCATTCAGGGTTGTAATCTAAACGAGAGTGACCCAACAGCATCACGTGACCTAGCCAGGTTTCTGTGTCTCCTGCCTTGTCTTACCGACCTGATGATAAATGACTATCACGATCCATACAATCATCATTTCCTTCATGACGATTTCTACCACGAACTTGCTCGTCAGGCCTCATTCTCAAAGGTGATTTGCAAGGTGTATAACGTTTATCTGGAATACGGGACATTGGCCATATGGTTACCTAGAATGATGAATAATGAAACAGCTAGTAAACTACTTTGTACCACAATTTACGAGCAAACAACATGAGTTAAACCGTATCTAGTAAAGGAAAGTCATTTGATGTATTATTACCATAATGTGAATAATTTTTTCTTGTTATTAATTGACCCTTAATGACCGTGATGTTCACAATTTGCAGCTCCTATCACATCCCTTGATATGTGTTTTGCTTTAGAACTTCAAGCTAAAAGCTTGATTACCGTCAAATAAATTCAAAATGTAAAATTTATGTTTATAGGTACATAACACATTTAGTAAAAGTACCTTGATAATAGGCACAATTCGATGGACATACTTAGTACATCATTATTATTTTCTAATTCTATAGCGTGTTAACCTGCAATGTAATTAATACACTTACGATCATGAAAATGATAAAAGTATATTATCTTGTTTTCGCGATCGTTTAAAGTTAATAGTTCTCATTTTGTTTTTTGTTGTTTTTTTTATTTGGGGGGGGGGGTTTCTTTGTTCATATTCATATTCATATTTATTTCATTTTCAACAGAAAGGTAAACAAAGACATTACATTTTTTTCATACACAATTAATGTTGTTGTCATGAATGGTATCTCAACAGATAGGGAAGGTGTGCATTCAGGGCTGTAATCTAAAGAAGAATGACCCCACAGCATCACGTGACCTAGCCAGGTTTCTGTGTCTCCTGCCTTGTCTCACCGACGTGACGATAAAGGACACTACTCTACAGTCAATACGAAGATCCTTTCCTTCGTGATGATTTCTACCACGAACTTGCTCGTCAGGCCTCATCCTCAAAGGTGATTTGCAAGGTGTATAACATTTACCTGGAATACGGGACATTGGTCATTATGGTTAACTAGAATGATGAATAATGAGAAACTGTAAACTACTTTGTACCACAATTTACATATTGCTCCAATTGTCTCATTTTCGCTCACTGGAACATTGCCAGCACAAACCACTGACCTCTACCTCCTGGACGGATCATCGCTCATTCCCATTCACTTTACGTTACGTACTAAAAGGCTGTATTGTCTGACCTTTTATGAATATTCATGTTTTTGCTTACCTCGGCAAAATGTTTGCTTTAACTAAATGGAAAAATTACGGTGGGGGGTTGGATGAAATGGACATAATGAACCAAGCAGAAGTGGTCTATGATAATTCATGCTTCTTATCCTCCACGTGCTTGACCTAAAATCTTAAAATCGCTTGGCAAACTGAGTCCAAAGTTCGACTTGTTTCACATGTGTATTATAGGCAATGATGAGCTTGCAACCTATTTTGATCAAATTACGGTGGGTGAACTTTCAAAAATCAATGGGACATCAGGGTTCCAATGAAAGAGCTAGTGATAATGTAAGTCGGGGTGGATGTGCTTTTCTTTTAAACAAAAAATGAATTTTTAACGATTTTTTGGGTACAATTCCATAGGCTAACATGTATGGCTCAGTGCTGACTCTGACGATAGGGGTCGTTGTGAAATGAGACTAAACGGAGCTATATGCGAGCAAACAAGATGAGTTTAACCGTATCTAGTCGAGGGAAACCATTTGATGCTTTATTACCATAATGTTAATGATTGTTTCGTTTTATTAATCGACCCTTAACCCTAATAAGGCCAGGGGGCCATTGTGCTCCCTCCCCCCCCCCCTCCTCTCCGGATTGTATCTGCTTGTTCGGGAACGCATAAGGATGGCGCTCCGCCGCCCGCTGACTTTTTTCTTTTGAGTCTTGCGCATCTTTTTTAACATTTTTTTTTAGAAAATCAGACGTACAGTTACAAAGTCACGTGACCTTTTGTCTTTGCATGCAGCCCGAAAATCGCTCATCAGTTTTCGTGATTTGTGTAAAAAACATATGGGGTGTCATTTTTCCTAAAAGGAGATAAAACATTAGTTATTAGGTCTTGTTTAAAGGTTAGGTGTTTGTTTTGGGAGTCAAAACAGTTGAATTGTAGTTAGAAATGAAATAAAACAACAAAACAATAAAATACACGAGTTAAAAAACAATAAAATACATAAGAAATTATCAAAACAAAATATAACATAAGGAATAACCTAGGTCTTCCATTGTCTTTTGTCGTATTAGTGTTTCAAATGGTCTAACGAATACATGTAGTGAAAAAGAATGCTTAAATAAAAGAATATTATGATAAATGGGTAAAAGGGTGACTGTTATGACCTTATTTGCATAAATTACCATAAATATGCAAATGAGTGAATTTAAAAAAAATGAAATTTACCATAGTGTTCTATACACTTCACTTGACATGCGTGCAAATTTTCGGGGCGATCGGCTGTTTCACGGCCGAGATCTAAGGGGAGCCATGATGCCCCCCCCCCCCCCGTATTAAGACCTCAAATAGCCCGGCCTTTTTAGGGTTAATGACCGTGATGTTCAGTAATTACAGCTCCTACCACATCCCTTGATATGTGTTTTGTTTAGAACTTCAAGCTAAAAGCTTAATTAGAGTCAAATTAAATTCAAAATGTAAAATTTATGTATATCGGTACATAGCACATTAAAAAATTACCTTGATAATAAGCGCATTTCCAAGGACAAGCAGTACTTAGTACATCATCATTATTTTCTAATTCTATAGCGTCTTAACCTACAATGTAATCGATACACTGAAGGTCATGCAAATATTAAAAGTATATCATATATTCCGTATCGCTTAAAATTGATAATTCTCCAATTTTGTGTGTTCTTTTTTTTGTCGCCATGAATGGCATCTCAACAGATGGAGAAGGTGTGCATTGAGGGTTGTAATCTAAACGAGAATGACCCCACAGCATCACGTGACCTAGCCAGGTTTCTGTGTCTCCTGCCTTGTCTCACCGACCTGATGATAAAGGACTCAGACGATCAATACAAAGATCTTTTCCTTCGTGATGATTTCTACCACGAACTTGCTCGTCAGGCCTCATCCTCAAAGGTGATTTGCAAGGTGTTTTAACGTTAACATGGAATAAGGGACATTGGTCATTATGGTTAACTAGAATGATGAATAATGAAACTGTAAACTACTTCGTACCACAATTTACGAACAAACAAAATGAGTTAATCCGTATCTAGTAAAGAAAGTCATTTGATGTTTTATTATCATAATTTGAATGATTGTTTCGTTTTATTAATCGACCCTCAATGACCGTGATGTTCAGTAATTCCAGCTCCTACCACACCCCTTGATTTTTTGTTCCGGTTTAGAACTTTAAGCTAAAAGCTTAATTACAGTCAAATAAATTAAAAATGTATTTATATTTATCGGTACATAGCACATTTGAAAAAAATTACCTTGATAACAGGCGCGATTCGATAGACATGCAAAACTTAGTACATGTTCCTATTCTATACTATAGCGTGTTAACCTACAATGTAACTTATACACTGACGGTCATGAAAATGATAAACGTATATTATGTTTTCCCTATATTTTAAAATGGATAGTTCTCAAATTTGTTGTGGTCTTTTTTTTTGTCGCCATAAATGGCACCTCAACAGATAGAGAAGGTGTGCATTCAGGGTTGTAATCTACGTGAGAATGACCCAACAGCATCACGTGACCTAGCCAGGTTTCTGTGTCTCTTGCCTTGTCTTACCGAACTGACGATAAATGTGATAGTTCTCAAATGTTGTGTGTTCTTCTTTTTTGTCGCTGTCACGTGCGATACAATTCGGCATTGAGAAGAGGGAAGAACAGTCTCAGCATGCACTGGGTTGCATGGCACCACACCACGCCGGTTCCTTTCCTTGGAAATACCCCCCCAAAACTGTAACACAGACCTCTCTCTTCAAGATCAATTATCCAAGTGAGCAGTCTGCATGTGCATTTTTACTAGCACACACAAATGAAAATGTGTCATACAAAGAGTCTGCAATTCTATACACCTGACAGAACCTAGATATTTACCACAATAAATCAATGTATCTACCTATTATTTGCTAGTTTATCCAAACTACGCCATCTTCGAGAACACTCTAAAAAGTCACAATCGCGCATGCGCCCACCTCCATACATCGCCTTCACGTGCGCATCGCACGCCCGCCATTCATCCTCTTTCTATTCTCGCCCACCGAGATAGACATCGTATACAGCTGAGTCACATTAAAATCAAGGATTTTGTCCTTTTTTCGTTGGGCTTGGCTCTTTTACGTATTGAATTCCGTTCTCATAATAAATGCTGTTAATATTATGGGGCGGGTTCCCTAGTCACATTTTTATTTTTGCGGAAATTTGAGTTTCATTTCTGCACCGCATATTTTCTTTTTCGCGATCGTAAATTAAGACTTCGTTACGCCGCTGGTTAAGGCGTTGGGTCTTGGCGTTATACGGCCGTTGGTTGGGTTGGCGAGTAATTTATTCATCGCCCTTTGTTCCAACTTGGTTCGTTTCGCTTCGTGGTTCACTGCTTCAGTGGTGCGGCCTTTTGTTGTGTTCGTGATTGTTGGATTTATTTTTCGTGCATGCGTTGGGTTTAGTTTGATATAAAAACATTTTATTTGAAACTGTTGGCTTGATAATTTGGTGAGCGGGGAGTTGTTAAGCTCGCTCACTCCTTTTGTCTGGCGTTTCTCTTTGTTTACTTGCATTTTATTTGAAACTGTTGGCTGGATAGTTTGGTGAGCGCGGAGTTGGTTATTCTCGCTCGCTCCTTTTGTCTGGCGTTTCTCTTTGTTACTTGCATTTTATTTGAAACTGTTGGCTGGATAATTTGGTGAGCGGGGAGTTTGTTAATCTCGCTCGCTCCTTTTGTCTGGTGTTTCTCTTTGGTTTACTTTTTGTGTATTCAGGTTCGTGATGGATGCGTCGGAGCCTGGTACTCTTGTTTCTCCTCCAGCTGGTGCAGCTACGGGAGGGGTGTTTGTCAAGCCGACCACTCGTTTATTCAGTGTGGCGGCAGGTAAGTTAGGGAGCGCTACTAGCGTCTCTCGGACAGGCTCGTTTATAATTACCGGCTCGACTCTGTCGGGCTCGGTAAGACAGCCATTGTTGGGACCTGGGGTCCCAGCAAGGGGGCGATCGGTTTACCGATCGTTAGCCCCCAACGCACGATAGAGAAGGGCGTCATTGGTCTGCCGGCCTCTGACGTTCATGCTCTGGGGATGAGTGTCGCCATTGCGGCCACTGACACTCGGACCCGGGGGAAGAGTGTCGCCATTGCGGCCACTGACACTCGGAACCCGGTCACTGGCTTTGCTCCCGCTAGTGACACGTGCAACAACTTGAGCGATTCCGCAGTCCTCGAGACCAGCTTGAATCCTCAGGGGCCGGCTTCCTCCCGTCGGGTGGAAGTCGTAAGAGACTTTCCGACCTGCCCGCTAGGGTACTGTCCGTCAGTCTCGAGTGTTTACCCGAGTGAATCCGTAGCACCCCGTGCCGCTTTGATCACTCAATAGTAGTACACTCTTGCTTGCTCTCACGCTCCCGTCACAGTCGGGTGCTTTTGAGACAAGCAAAATATATCCGACCGCCTGGTCGGCAGTGTCGGATCCGATTTAAGCCCTGAATGTCTCAGTTTGCCTTTTGTGCAGCTGCAGTCACTCAGAGTGTCGTTGTTTATGCGACCTCTGACACTTGGGCCTCGGTCACTGTCTAGACAGTGACATGGGCTTTTTGAGAGATTCGGCAGCACTCTGTGCAGCCTTGGATCCTCAGGAGTGGGTTCCCTCCCGTCAGTCGGGTTGGGAGTCGTAAGAGACTGTCTGACCCTCCCGTCCAGGGTACTGTCTGTCAGTCTCGAGTGTCTACTCGAGTGAGTCCGCCGCACCCCGTGCCGCCATGATAACTCGGGAGTACACGTGCAACAACGATTCCGCGTCCTCGGGACTAGCTTGAATCCTCAGGGGCCGGCTTCCTCCCATAGGGTGGAAGTAGTAAGAGACTTTCCGACCGGCCCACTAGGGTACTGTCCGTCAGTCTCGAGTGTTTACTTGAATGATTCCGCAGCACCCCGTGCCGCCGCGATCACTCAATAGTAGTACACTCTTGCTAGCTCTCTCGCTCCCGTCACAGTCGGGTGCTTATGAGACGAGCTAAATATATTTATATCCGTCGCCTGTTCAGCAGTGCCGCCCGATATATCTGTATCAGTTTACCGGTTCGGTAAATTACGCAAATATACGCTCTTGCTATCTTTTTTGCTCCAGTCTTTAGGCATGGTGTATAGCCATGTCTCGGTCATGTCTCTTTTGAGTCGATGTCTGCCTTGGGCACAAGTTAGGCTACGGCTAGGAGGAGGGGTTCGGCCTCGTTTAGACGCCTACCCTTCTCCGTTGCCATCGATCAGGCTGAGCCTCTCGATTATGTGGAGCTCTTTGCTGAGAGAAGTTGGCGGGGTAGTAACCCAGCCCTCTCGGCCGACCTCTGGTGGTACAGGCCTTCCTTTTTCGTGGTCGGCTCTGTCATGTCTTTGGACACGGGCGCCCAGGGCCTAGGTCCGGTTTTACCTCGGTGGCTTGATCTGATACCAGTTGCCTGGATAGTGTCCGATATTTTGGATAGCTCCTTCTGGTGCCCAGACTTGTTTACATGTTCTTGATTCTCAGGATCCTGTTCTCGTACAGGTTTGGTTCCCGGAGTTGCCTCTCCTATCTCAGTCGCCGCCCGGCGAGGATATTAATGTTTGTGGTTGCGCCCGCCTCCTCGGGGCCAGGTTCTCGACGTCGTTGAGTTTGAAGGTCAGATGGGTGACTCTCAGTTACTAATCAGCGCGGCTCCCAAGCTCTCGTGGTTTGGCAGCCGACGTACAGACTCTCTTTGAGTCGTCATTACCGGAGGCCTTCACTCTGGCTGTGCCAGGTGCGGCCAAGGCTTCCCATCTCCTTCCGCGGGAATACCGCTCATGGTGGTTTGCCAGTCCGGTGACGGGTATCTTGTGTGTAAGGAGGGTTCCCTTCTCCGGTGATCTCCTCCCGTTCTAGTTTTAACAGGGCGCGGCCCTAGGGTGGGTCAGTTATGTAGAAGTAATCGCACTTAGCTCCTCCTTTGGGACAAGCTTTGTGTCTTGAGGCTTTGTTGCGATGCAACGACTCGCCAATGTTTTGTTGATGTGGCCCCGGAGTCAACCACGTCGTGGTTTCACCCAGTCGTGAAACGCAAAGATCCCGGTCTCACGGAGGCTCTCGGGTCTTGATTGATGAGCCTATGGCGCAGTGGAGCGGGTTGGTCCCGGTCACACTGAGTTTATTTCGGGGTTTACGAAGTCTAATATGGCCGCTATACTCGCTTCTTCTCCCGTACCTCCGGGTAAGAAGCGCAAGCGTTCTAACGTCCAGCTGCCGTCTGTGTCAAGGTAGAGAAGGCTGAGTTAAGTGTTACGTCAGTCGGTGTGTTCTCTAGCCGCTCAGGCTGGGCTTCGTGGCTTCTTGGTGATTTTGGTGTCTGGGGATACCAGCCACCAAAAGACCCGAAAAGCATTTTGGGTTTGGCGGAGGCTCAGCTTCTGCCCCTTCCTGTGCCGGGCTGGTAATGAGCCGGCCCTGGTCACACCTGGCTTTGGGTTCGTTCAGATTTCGCGGGTGTTGATACTCCGGCATCCGAGACACTTTTAGGTCCGGGTTGCCTGGTGCTGTTGGCCTTCCACCATGGGCCGTCGGCCGGTTGGTGGGAGTTGTGCCTGTAGTTCCTGCCCTCGCGGTTGTCTTCGGCATCTGCAGCGGGGTTTCAGTTGAGTTCGCCACTCGACAGAAGGTTGTCGGCCACACGACAGGAGGTTGTCGACCAAACGTAAGCCTTTCGCACCATGCTCTTGCGGCCTCTGATGCCGTGAGGCGTGGTGGCCATGCTGGGCCTATTTCGCTGACCCTTCCAGTTTAGCAAGGCCCTAGAACAAGCTTCGTCACTCGACGCTTTGGCAAGGGGCACGAAGTTGTGGTTGGATTGTTATATTTATTGTGGCCTTCTAATGTCAAGTCTCCGACTGTGACTTAGGCGGAGAGAGCTGTGGTAATATTTAGACCTCAGCTTGCCTCTTCTCCAACCGTTCAGACTGGGCTTTGCGCAGTGTCTAAGTAGCTTGGTGGGCGACAGGGTTTACCCTGGTCTCATCCGGCTGGTCTGGTGTAAGCCGGTACCCGTTTTGGTTTGGGGATCGTCTTACCGAGTTCGGCCTCGAGGAGGCTCAGTTCGGTGGTTGGCATTTCTCCTCGGGCTTTTTGCCCGTTGGTGATGGTTAAGCTCTCTTCTCCAGCTTCTTTTGCTACACCTCCAAGAGAGGAGTGGGTAGCTGGGTCGGGACTCGCCCTTCCCCTCTGGGGTTTGGGGTTTTTCCTAAATGACGGCCATGTCTGTGACTCTTCTCGCAGATGAAGCCTAGTCATGCGGCTGACCAGCCCTTAGGGCTGTGGTGTCGCCTTTTTCGGGGGATTTATCTCTTACAACTAGCCGAAATAGCTCAGTTGGGAGAGCGTTAGACTTAAGATCTAAGGTCCCTGGTTCGAAACCACCCGGAGAACTCGCATGAGTTCTGAACTGTCCCGGGTTTCGGCATGTTCCTTTCTGTTTTAAGGACACAGTTCCCTAGCTCATTTGTAGGGTAATCAGTGTCCGTCGTTGATGTTTGTGGCAACGGGCTTCCCGGCGAGTTTCCGTTTCTGGTGGTTTTTGTCCC